CATCACATAACTTATGTAAACTATGGACTGTAGTTAATAACAGGTCTTAGTGTTCTGGTGCTATGAAGAGACACTATGACCATGGCAATGCCTACAAAAAGAAAACATTTCATTGGAGCTTGCTTACAGTTTCAATGGCTTAGTTCAGTTCATTACCCTCATGGCAGGGAACATGGCAGCATGCAGGCAGCTGAGAGTTGTACATCTGGATCCACAGGCAGCAGGAAGAGAGAGACAATGGGCCTGACTTGAGCTTTTGAAATCTCAAAGCCCACACCTAATGATACACTTCCTCCAACAAGGTTTCACCTCCTAATCCCTCTCAAGCAGCACCTCTCTCTAATGACCAAGCATTTTAAATATATGAGCCTATAGGGGCCACTCCTTTTCAAACCACTATATAATGTATCAGTCATTTTCACTAGATCTTAATAATATGGGAAACTTAAGGAAAGAATTCTGTACAACCTGTTCAAGTTTCTGTAAGCTTAAAATTGCTTTAAAAAGCCTAGAGCCTAGCATGGTGGGGCATGCCTGTACACTTACCACCTGGAAGGCTGGGACAGAAGGAAAAAGGTTTAAGTCCAGTCTGGACTACACAGTGAGAGTTTGTCTTTAAATAAGTCTGCTGCAAAGAGAAGCTTCTTTGATGAGGGGTGAAATCTGCACTTATCTGTGGGTATAAAGATAAGTCATTAGAATGTAGTTAGGAATCATGCCAGTTCAGTGAAGTAGAAGTAGTAGGTTCTCCTCTTAGATCCATGATCTCACTAGCTCTGGGAAGTTGGGTAGATTTCTAGTACCATGCATCATGTCCCTCCTGGTGAGTAATGTACATGGGAGTTGTGGTGGCTGAGTCGTTATATACTCTTCTGACATGTATGAAGATCTAGGTTAGAACCTTAACTCCGGGAAAAAAAAAGTATTAAATGAGTCATGATCCCTTAGAAAAGTGATTTATAAAAGGGGTATGTATCATGATGTATCGAAAATCATGAGACTCGATTTGGACATCTTAATAGCAGCTATTATCTTTACTCTATGTTACTTTCATATCCTTATCTTCATTCCAGTCCAGAACACATCACTACATATGAATTGAAATTTTATTGCTGGCGAACTCCCTTTAGATATTCCCCAAGTTACTCACTCATCACACTTGCTATGGTTTGAATATGAAATGTCCTCTATTGGCTCATATACTTGAACACGTTGTCCTGTTAAAGTCCTGGCAGGAATGGAGATATCCTAAAGAGATACCTTTGCCCTTCCTTTTGGTTGTCAGACTACTGAGGCAACGGAGCCTAAGACTTTGCAATTTTTCCAGAAGTCTCATACAAGACAAAGGCTAGAACCCTTGTACTAGCTAGAGGGAAATCTTGATCCTGGAAAGTGATTTCACACAGTCTTGACAACTTGACAGTCCACTTTGCAGAAGAGTTTGAAGTTTGAAGGGCAGAATCACACTTTGAGCTTAGTTATGCAAACCTGTTGCCCTCTAGTTAGGGCCCTGAAGATGGACTTGGGGGATAGGGAGAGATGCTTGGATCTCCATGTTTGTCTTCCCATTTTGTCCACATTGAATACATTTTTCCCTCCCTTTCATTATTACTTGTCTAACTGGCCTATTAAGGATAGGTGGCTGAGCCTGGCTTGTTAGAGATGCCTAGGCTCTGATCTTGACCATTTCCAGGTGGATGCTTCTTTTGGAGGTTGTGGAACTTCTGGGAAGTGAAGCTTTGCTAGAGGAAATCTGTCCCTGGGCATGGGTTGTAGAGCCCAGCCCCATTTTCCATTTGTTCTCTGCTTCTTAAGTGTGGATGCAGTGTGACCAGCCACTTGACCATCCTGTCATCATGACTTCATCACCATGATGGACAGTATCTCTTCTTAGACTGTAGTAGTATTTGCTCTGCCCATGACCTTGGGCTATACGGCCCCAAGGAGGCAGTGCTTCCTGCCGTTGTCCATGACCTCTTATAAGCAGGGAAAAGGGGCAAGAAAGAGAAAGTTCCAGAAGAGTACTTTATACATGCCCCTTCTCCCTGCTCCTGCCTTCGAGGTGGATTCACTCCCGGTCAGATCAGAGGACAACTTCAGCTGTCTACTCCATTCTGTATTTGTGAGTGTATTTCCTCAATTTATATCTTAATAAATTCTGCTACCCATTTAATAGACTCACGTGGATTGATCATAATATAGACTATTGGTCCAAATAAAGCCTTCCCTAAGTTGCTTTCGCTGGCTATTTGGTCACAGCTGAAAAGGCCTATGTCATGATCACTGCTCACTGCCAGGACTACAGTGAGAAAGAGCAGGAAGCAGAACACAAAGATATGAAAAAATGTGCCATTTTCTGAGTAAGTTTAAAGTTGCAGACAAGAAGGCTGCTAGGAAAGCAGCTGTGGTCATTAAAGAGATTAGTGGCACTAAAGAGAAATCTACTCTGCACTGGGACAATAGGAAAGGTGTCCTGTGGGCAAGACCCCATCCATCAAAGGCTCCATCTTATGAATATCCAAATTCACCTGAATAGAGAAGAGTGTGAATTGAGAATGACAATGAAGGGGGCTTCTCTGCAAAATAACAGGTGCCCATTAAGGTGTTTTCTGAGATTCAGCTTTAAAGGTACACAGCGGCCACTGTAACTCTATTTCAAGGTGGCCAAGAACTTGGAAACTTTGTCCAGCTGGTACCGACTTGCAGGCATGAACGATGTAAGAGTGAAGGGGGTTGTGGAGGTTTGTGCTAAGGTTCCAGGAGGCTGAGGAGGCCAGGCAACGAGATTCTATGAAGAGGCCCTGAGAGACTGTTGCATGGAGCTGGGAAGATGGTATTGGAGATGCTGGGACTGGGAGAGATCCACTGATGAAGGCTGCAGGCATGGGAGGGAGCCAGTCCATAACGGAGGCCACATGTGTAATAGGTAGTAGAGTTAGGGCCCACAGGGTTGTGCAAGGCTTTGGAGCCCAACCAATTTCATCTGTTGAATGTGGAGCTTCAAGATTTTGCATCTGCTGTGCTGAATTTCAGAGTTGCTTTGATGTGATTTCCCCTTGCTATCTTATACTCTTTGGAACACTATTGTATATTGGAAGTATACAATTTGATTTTTCATTTTACAGGGTGTTGTTGGTTTTTTTTTACTCTTTACTCTTTGGGGGCAGGGCTGCCACTGAGCTCCCAAATGAATCACACCAAGGCTTATTCTTTATGAATGCCCAGCTTTAGCTTTGCTTGTTTCTTGCCAGCTTTTCTTAAATTATCCCATCTACCTTTTGCCTTTGGACTTTTACCTTTCTCTATTTCTGTATATCTTTTCTTCTTATTCTATGTCTGGCTGTGTGGCTGCCTCCTTCTTTCCCCCCTGCTCCTTGATTTCTTTCTCTCTCTTTTTCTCCTATTTATTCTCTCTGCCTGCCTGCCTTGCCTGTCCTTTCTCCTGCCTTGCTATTGGTCATTCAGGTCTTTATTAGACCAATCAGATGTTTTAGACAAAGTAACACAGCTTCACAGAGTTAAACAAATGCAATGTAAAAGAATGCAACACATGTTTGCATCATTAAAACAAATGTTCCACAGCATAAACAAATGTAATATATCTTCAACTAATATTCTACAACAACAGGGGCTGGTGATTAAGAAATTTGTTCCACCTCTGTTTTTGAAACTCCGTTTTGCTATGTATCCCAGGCCGTCTTGAAATTTATGATCATTCTTCAAAGGTTTAGGATTACAAAGGTGCACCAACATAACCATATTTTTAAATGGTATTTTATGTCTATAAAAATCTAATTCAACCATGAGTAATGTAAAGCAATACATAAATAAACTAAAAATGCATTTTTAGATGCCGGGCGGCAGTGGCACACACCTTTAATCCCAGCACTCTGGAGGCAGAGCCAGGCAGATCTCTGCGAGTTTGAGGCCAGCCTTCCTGATCTACAGAGCGAGATCTAGGACAAGTTATTGGTTACATAAATAATGAAACTTTTTTGAATATTATACTCTATTTGCTCCAAATAATTTAATCCAGTTCTCTCATCTTTTTTTTTCTCCAAACTTCACACCCTTTTAGCACTTACTAGTAAGTTCTTTTTACTTTGTCCACTAACTTTGGTGGTTATCACCAAAGTTTATGTTTATTCTCTGCTGGGGGTGGAAAAATTACTATTATTGATAATATTATGATCCCAACATCCAGAAGAGTACTTGGCACGTAGTATTCACATAGTAAAGACTCAGAGAATATTAAGTAACTTTATTTAAATTAAAGTAACTTTAAAACTCAGTACTAAACTGCCAGTGTTAAGTGGCCTGAAGTCCTCAGAACTAGGCTAAGATGGATGGCAGGAGTTCTGCATCAGATTGGGCAACAGAGACATCATTTGTCTCTGGCTCTCAAAGGAAATACTTGAATCATTACCAATTATACCAGTTCAGATAAAATTCCTTGTTACCCCTACACTGCGCAATAAAAAGATACCCTTGGCGTTCAGGTTTCTCTTTTAAATCCTGAGACTGAACATTCTGACGTCGCACGTAGTCTAGAATACACTCTTCCTAGTCCCGAAGTAAAAACTATCACCAGATTTAAAGCTCTTCTGACACGGTCTTTGGCCAGCATGGAGGAGGAGGTCTCACTTCGCAGCACACCCTTCCTCCCCGTAACCCGCAAACCACACCCCACTGAAGGAAACCACAGTTCTGCCCAGTGAAGATCGTCCACGTGAGGCGGAGCCCACGAACCACACGTCTCCCCTCCTCTAGCCAGACAAGAGTTGGTCTGGACAGTAGTCCGCTACTCCCCCCCGCCCCCCAGAAGGCGACCTGAGGTCGGCACTCTTCCCCAGCTGCTCTCAGCGCTCCCTGCGACCCCGCGAGCTCGCCGGAAGCCCCGCCCCCAGGTCGCCAGCGGGCTGGCGCATGCCCGGTGCGCTCAGCCTCGTCCCCCCCCCCCCCCCCCCCGCCGTGGGCCCGGCGGCGGCGGCGGCGCGCTCGCTCGCTCGCTCCCGCCCGTCCGGCCCCGCCCCTTTTGGTCACTCAGGGGCGCGCGCGGCGGGCGCGCGGCGATTGGCTGCGCCTCCGGCCCGAGACGCTGCGCCCGCGGAGTGGGCGCCGAGGCTTCTTCCCGCGGCTCCTCAGGTAACGGCGCGGCCCGGGAGGGTGGGGGAAGGGGAGAGGAGCTCGGGGTGGGCTGCCGCCGCCTCCGGACTTCCGGCCGCAGCCCCTGGAGATGCGGGAGGGTTGCACCGGATTGGCCCCCGAGGAGCGTGCCGGCCACCCTCGATGGCCCCGCGCGGCGCGGGGGTTCTCAGGTGACACACTGCTCCTGCTCCTCAGGTTTCCGCACAGTCTCACCAAAGTTAAGAGGCCGAACGTGGATTCAAAAGTGTCGGTTGTCTTTCCTCTTGGCGAGTTAGGGTTTCAGTCCTGGCTGGACCGCGGATCCCCGCTCTGCCCTTGCGGGACACTTTAAGCCCTTTACAGTTCTCCACCCTTGAAAGTCGAGCACAGCTCCCAGTGCTGCTCAGCACGCGCGGGTACTAGACTACGGGCGGGCGGATGCAAACTCCGGGTTCACAACATCCCGGAGTCGGCTTTTCTAACTGGAGGATGACACCACCCAATGGTATTGGTGAAGCACTTGAAGTTCTATGGAAGGAGCTGCGTAAACTACTAGGTAGCAGGACAGACGAGGGTGGTCTCCAGAAACGCCTTTCTCAGAGAAACAGGTCTTTGGGCTCCTTCGAGCATTTTTATGTGAGTTAATCCCCAGTGGTCGTGGAAAGAGCTAAGGAAGGACAGCTTTCACCTACTATCACAAGTTGCTCACTTTGCGAAGTGTCTTCTATCTGGAAAGGATTTCACCCAAAATGACAGTTACGTAATCATTACATAGGCTGTCATCCTGTATGAGTTATTTATTTTGTCAGTTTGCCAGGAAGTGCCTCCATCAGATTGTTCTGGGGACATTTCTGGGGACATTTTCTTGATTAATGATTGATTTGGGAGGGCCCAGATCACTGTGGGCGATATCACCTCTGAGCTGGTGGTCCACAGTTGTATAAGAAAGCAAGCCAAGTGCCGGGTGGTGGTGGCGCACGCCTTTAATCCCAGCACTCGGGAGGCAGAGCCAGGCGGATCTCTGTGAGTTCGAGGCCAGCCTGGTCTACAGAGCGAGTTCCAGGAAAGGCGCAAAACTACACAGAGAAATCTTGTCTCGAAAAACCAAAAGAAAGAAAAGAAAAGAAAAGAAAGCAAGCCAAGCAAGCCATGGAGAGCAAGCCAGGAAGCAGGCTCACTCCCTGGTCTCTGCTTCGGTTCCTGCTTCCAGGTTCCAGCCTTGAGCTCCTTTGGGAGCTTCTCTGGGTGATGGTTCCAACCCCACGCTCCAAGTTGCTTTTAGTCAGGAATTTATCAAAGCAATAGAAACCAAACTAAATCACGTCCTATGTAATAATAGTATGCCAATAAAATTAATTGAGGCTTACTTTTAAAATGTGAGATACTATGAATTGTTTCATTCGATGGAAGTAATGAAGTCAAAACAAGTATGAATAGGAGACAGATATAATTTTTCTTCAAAGACAGAGTATGAAATAAAAATCCTTGTGTGGTAACTGTAAAATGTTTAAGCCGCGTGTCCAACTCATTGCATTTTCATGATGTATACTCTTCTGTCTAGTATCAAGATCAAGAAGGAACATAATAAGATGGCGAGAGAGATCGGCCGTTAAGAGCACAGCACCCAGTTTGATTTCCCGCATCTACATGGTGTGCACATCCTTCTTTAACTCTAGTCCCAGGAAATCCGATGCCTCCTTCTGCCCTCCTAGCATGCTTGTATGCACTGTGTATTGCTTGCAGTGCCAAGACATACATGTAGGCAAAATACCAACATACATAAAATAAAAGGTCGCATTTAAAAAAAAATAGCATAATAGTAATTGCATCCCAGAAAACTCCACTTGTGCCCTCTTTCCAATAGTAATCACTGGATTTGAGTTTACTTACATAGGAATCCAAGGGACTAGCGCCATTACAGCCTAATGGCCTCCTGGGTAATTATTTTGCCTGAATACCTGGACTGGATTTATGCTGTGGGCCATAGTTTGCCAGCCCCTGCTGTACTAAAAAATGGCTGCTCAGTACTACTACAGCTTTTCCGTGCCAAATATCTCAGTTAACATTTGCAGCAGACACGTTCTGTTTTTAGGTGGTTCTTTAGAAGTGAATTTAATACATATTAGAAATACGTTGAGACATTTAGGGGTAGTCTATCAATGTGATATTGATAACTTCTTTGATAAATAAACGCAGATTTAAGATAGGCCACACCTTCAGACACAGTAAGGGTTTATATAAGCACTTAAAATAAATTCTGAGATAATCTGTAAGGCAGCAACAAATGGCACATGTTCTACTTATTAAATTTAGAAAAAATAGTGAAAGAAATAGCTCTTCGTAAGAGTTTAAAAAGCAGAACTACATTTTAGGGTTTTTTTTTCCTTTTTAAACAGGATCTCTTGTCTTCTAGGTTAGCCTGAAACTAGTTAAGTAGCCGAGGATGTCCTTAGATCCTGATTCTCCTGCTTCTGGCTCCGGGGTGTTATATGCTGGTGTTACAGATGCGCACTACCATGCCTGGAGTCTTTTGTTGTTGTTGTTATTATTATTATTATCATTATTATTTTAAAGAAACAAGGTCTCCCTGTGTTGCTCTGGCTGGCCCTGAACCCTTGGCTTCAAGCCATCTTCCTGCCTTAGTAGCTGAGCCTATGGGCCACGGCACTTAACTTGTTTTACTTTATTATGTTTGGGAATAATTAATTTTATGTCTTGAAATAATTTAATATGACCATATACCCCATTTTTGTTTGGGGTTATAGCTTTTGTTGTTTTGTTTTTTAAGTTTCTAATATGGCAACATAAATTATTACTTTAAAGGGGTAGCTGATTTGGCCCTTCACTAAAATGGTTGCCCAATGGGACAGATTGACCATAGAACTGTTTTGGGCAGTTGTTTAGAACCAGCAATACCTGGTTCTGGTATTGCTAAAACTGAGAATATTCTTTTGAATTTTATTCTGTTTTGAATATGTATAGGTAGGTGGTATAGTCTCATAAATTTACAGTTTTCCACTAGATGATTTGTATACACACATTGGGATTGCTTTTATTATTCTTGGATTTATAAGTTTGAGAAATAACTAGACTGTAACAAGGTTCATTTTACTACAGTCTGTAATCTTGAATTTCATTGTTTTTGCTTGAAACATGCCAATATCTCTTCTTTGATTTTTTTTCTTTTGGTTTGGCAGTCTCTATTTAGTCTTGGCTGCCTTAGAAGTTTCTCTTTAGACCAGTCTGTCCTTGAACTCAGAGTGATCTTCCTGCCTCTCAAGTTCTGGGATTAAAGGCGGGCACCACTGCACAGGGCTTCTTTGTAGTTTTATGTTGAAGATTTTGCTACTGAACTTTTAAAAATGGAAAAAATGATGATAACTTGAAAACTTTATTGTGAAATATAATGCGTCTAGAGATAAGTATATGAAACATATGGACATTTTTCTGAACAAACAAATAATCCTTAAAACTTGTTACTAATTTGTGTATGGCTGTTTACAAAACATGTCTGTACATGTGAAATGGATTCATCAGTGGATGGATTGTTTTATGTGTGTCCTATTAATGCTGTTGCTCAATTCTCTTTCATTAATGATTTGTTTATCTATGAATTTCTGTGTTTTAGTAGGGATAATTGCTGACATTTTCCTATATGTTAAAGCTCCTTTTGTAATGAGTCTGTTTCTCCCTGGACACACACATACATACCATACACACACACACACACACACACACACACACACACACACACACACACACACACGTACATACCTATTTTTTGAGGTCATGCTATTTAAAGTATACTAGTTTATGGCTTATCTATTTTCCTGTAAGTGAGACATCCTCTTTTATCAGTGACTCAGTTCATCTTTAGTGATACTTTGTTTTAAAGCTTAGTTTGATTTTAAAAAAAACCCTTTTTATTTAGAAATCGTGTTTCTTTCTGAGAAGTTGAAAGAAATAGTATATACTATCTCTGACTTACAGTCTTTCAGGTGAAGATTTTTTTGGCTTTGGGGTGGTGAGAAACTGATAGGTATTCAGTAGAAATGATACCTCAGTATCGTTGTAGTTTCAGTCTTTATTTAGGCTGGGGTAGATACGGTAAGATATTGTTATTCATGACACTTGGCAGTGGCAATAAGCTGCAGTCTTAGGTGGTGTCAGGAGAACCAACAACTAGTGGTCTTTGGTACATTGGGTTAAGCTGGATATGCGACGGCTTAGGTGTATTGAATGCATTTTTGTTATATTTATCAGGAAGTAGCCCATCAGATGTCAAAGAACATCTTTCTAGAATTCTACATTCCATGTACAATACTTTTAATGTTAACAAAATATGCAATGATTATAATGTACAAATATAATCTACTTCACTAAATAACTCAATAAATGTTATATAAACTATAAACGAATCATCTCCTCACTTAAATTTTTTAGTGTACTTTTTGTAGTCTATTATTTTGGAAGTTATAATACTTTACCATTCTTTTACTGCTACTGTCAAGACTATAACTTTCATTATCTATCCCTTACATGGGCAGTGGTATGTGACTGTAGTCTAATTTTTTAAAATACTTTAAACAGCACTGCAGCTTATATTCTTGTACATATACATTTTACCTTTTGTGAGAGGTTAGATTTCTACAAATAGAATTGTAAACTCAAAAAGTTTGCATATTTAAAGCCCTAATCCATGTTTGGGGGCATTCTTTTTTTTTCCGTTTAAATGGCATACTTTTTATAAAGTATAAGTATTTCATGGAAACTTTTTAAGGCAAACTCCTTTCACACAAACAACCTTCATTGAAAACTCATTGTACTGTATTCTGTCTCTTTTTTTCTGAGCTCGTAGTTAAAACAAGAGGAACCTTAGCATTGGCATTTATTTGTGAAAGTTGCTAACACCAAGGATGAAAAAGAAAGTCCTGAATGTTTTCAGAGAGAACATAAAAATGGGCTTTCAAAACAACAAGAAAATTGAGTATGCTGGCATCAGTCTTCTAGCTAGCAAG